GATGACCATTTACTCCACAAATGCTTGCCTCTGCTTGCTGATCCATGACAAGGCGAAGGGCAAACATGAGGGTCTCGAGAGTCAAGATACCCACAGGCAGCACTGGATTGGCTGCACTGTCATGGTCATCTTGCTCATTGTGCTCATCACGCTCATCGTGCTCATCACGTGCATCATGCTCATCCTCTGGGTTGGCGGGAAGCTTTCCGTAGTGGGCCATGGTGTAGAGATGAGGGGAAGGGGGGTGAAGAGAAGTAGTACACTTTGACGGGGTGGCACCCTGAGGCTGTAATTTATGGACCTTGACAGGTAAGGAATTAGCGAATCAGTGAATATGGATAAGAACATGAGTAGATACATACCAGAATATGATAGAACTGTAAATACTGCATTGGGCACCCGTGCTCATGCAGAGAGTTTGCCGCAATTCACCTAGAGCAATCTTCCTCTGCCGTGGATTGGATACGTGCCACCACAACTCGTCAGTGTTCTCCATTGGCTAGGTACAGAATGGTAAATACCATCGGTGCATGCTGGAACATGGCATCGCTGTTCTGTAATGTATCATCCTGCTCTCCTTCAGCATTGTGTGGTGCTCACATATTTGTCTTGCAGACATCACCCATTATGGCTCCAAAGAGGTGAACCACAGAAGCCGAGCTCAAATTTCTGGAAAGTCAATACCAGACCTACCTTAAGTACAAGGCAAAGAAGGACTTACCACACTTTTGGAATCCAGTATCATTTGAATTCCTCAAGCAGTTCTCGGAGAAAAAAAAGCTGTTTGGCTCAGATGCTGCAATGCTCACACTGGAACAAGCCACTGAACTTAAAAATGCGATCGCCATGCAGAGAGAGGTGAGTCTTTGTTGTCAAGCATCTTCACTGTGTGCTGAGCCAGTCATGAACAGAAAATCGTTAACTGGTTTCGTAATGAGGGGAACAAGGGGAACCGCAGAGCGAGGGATGCTGCCAAGGTAAAGGGATTACATCTGATATCATTGTCAAAGCCAGCAGGCTGTCGTCATCTGCAGCCAGTGGAGCTCTACTCGTGGAAGTATTACGATGAGGAAATCAAGCCTCTTGTCACAGCCGAGATCGAACGCGATGGTTTGGAAAAGCAGCAGACCTTGGCGGTCATCAAGAGGATGACACGTGAGGCATTTGAGAATGAGAGCGTGAAGGTGAAGGATGAAATTCAGGCTGAGATTGATGCACAACATGCGGTGGAAGATGCCAATGCTGAGGAGGCTGATAGTCAACCTTTGCCTCTTCAGTGCCAGCTGTAAGTGTTCGCGTCATATCTATGCAGCATTCTCACAGGCTAGATGAACACAGCACCCTCGACAATGCACCCACGATACTGAGAGGATTTCTCTGTGAACTTTCATGCAAGACCAGCTGGTGCTTCACGGTCCTCAGAGCTGGACCGGCACCACAGGAAGGGGGGGCACTTCGGACCATCAGGTATGTCAACAGTGTATCTGTACACGGCAGTCATATTGATTGACATCTGTGATGAAGCATTCATGAAGGCAAGATGGAGTCCGGGCTTACATTCGCTGACTCAATTGACATCAAAGCGCATTGCATTAAGCCCTTTGCAGAATTCGTTGCAGTTGTCTATCATGAGTTAATCGAGTCATCCACCTGCTAAGTCTCATGCAAGTGTCACAGCAAAGGAAATTCATGCATCATACGTCATTGATGCACCTCAACATATTGCAAGTGCTAACCCAAAGCCATCGGAGAGCCTGTCAAGTGAGCGTGAGGCCGAATTGACCTCCTCTACTGGGCTTGGTGAAAGTCCATCAGCTGAACGTGGCATGCGCCACTCCTCGCTTTCTTCCTCACCACATCTTAACTCAGAATCTCACCTCCCTGACTCTCTTAACTTCCATTCTGAGAGCAATCAGACAGCTGCAGGTCTGATGCTTGACACATCCGGTGGGCCACCTCCTTCATCTGCTGGCTCCAGCAGCAACACGCCCACTACCAATCATGGCTGAGAGAGCGTTGCTGCACAAGAGCTGCGAGCTCTTCTACCAGAGGCTGAGGGCAGTAGCAATGCGATTCTGGACCCGTTCCCTTATGATTTTGCTCAGCTTGAACAGACGAACTTCACGAACATCATCCTTTCACCATGAAGCATGTCGCTATTAAATGATCTCTTTTCAGATTCCACACATCCCTTGAATTTCGACCAGAATGTCACTCAAAATCATGCAATCAGATTGGGCAGCCTCCTTCCTGCAAATGCTAGCTTCAAATTTGATACCGAACTGTCTGCATCCTCCACTCAGCTGCCATCTCAATTGCTCACACCGGCACCTGCTGCATCCTTCATCTCAGCACCACCTGGATTGTTTGTCTCATCTCCATCTGCAGCCTTCACATCAGCACCATCTGCAGGACCTACTGCTTTGATGGTTGCTTCGGTGCCTCAGCCCTCCTCAGTTGGCCCTCCCCAGCACTCTCCGATCGCACTGTCACTCCTTCACGAGCTCTTTGATGGTGAGCCCAATGCAGATAGAGACATCTCAGCCTGCACCACTTCTGCTCCCTCCACATCTGAGGTCCCTCAGCCCCAACTAAAGCTGCCATCCACGCATTCCAAAACTCTGCAGCCTCTGCAAGTGCTCCCTCCTGTCATGTCTGAGATTGTGCAACCATTGCACCCATCACTTCCCATCACATCTGAGCCAGAGCAGCCTGTGGATGTGACATCCCCTGTCATATTCGAGACGCAGCCATTCCTTCCCGCTTCAACTCCGACAACGTCTACGGAAGCCCGCACTCATCCCACATGAAATCGCTGAGCACCTCCATGTCTGGACGCTTCACCACCTTCATTATCAAGACACTTGCCTTCTAGTGTTGCAGAACAATCCACTGTGAAGAATGTCGAGAGCGATGGCACGGTAGAAGCTGAGAAGGGACACAGAAAGGGTAGAGTGAAGGATAAAGAGAATGCAGTGGATGCTGAGGTTAAGAAGGCATTTCATAAGTGAGCAGCTGCATTTCGGGGGGGGGTGTAAGGTGAAAAAGGTGAGGATCTGAGTTGCATGCCCACGACTGCATTTGGTGGTCATGTCGTCTGCATTCGTTGAACCTTGTACATACGAAATCGTTTTCTTTATGTTTGTCTTGTTGCTTCGTGTGGTTGACTGTCTCGTCTATGTTTCTTGGAATGTGCTTTCTTGATATCTTCTTGCATGTATGCTTTCTTAGTGCGGAACTTAGCAGCAAAAAATGTAATTTAATATCTTGTTGTTGCAGCATGAAACATGTTGCGTGTGAAGCCTACAACGGTTCAGCTCTAAGATCTGAATAATGTCCCGAGTGCTACATGGTAACGGTTGTTTTTGTTTCTTCTAAATTGTACTTTGTTGTGCCAGTCCACATCAGTAATACTTGGTGAATGTTGAGATGAAGTCACGTGTATGCATTTCCAAGCCCGTAATGTTATGGGCTCAACTTTTGTAACTGGGACAGAGTATATACGTCATTTGAAAGATCATTGTCTGGTTTTCCTGGAGTGCAGCATGTTCTGGGCTTGGCTTTTGTAACTGAAACGGAGTGTCTACGTCATTTGTAAGATCGTTATCTGGAGTGTAGCACGTGCAAGTTCTGTGCCTGGTCTCAAACAGGCAATGCACATGCGAGCTGTGAGATCTCTATCCAGCATCTGTATTCGAAGGTGATTAGGAACAACCCAACCAATTCTTAAATGAGGGATGTGAAAGGTGGCGCAATAATGCCTGTGCACCGTATTTCTATAAAGAATTCCAGCCCCAGAATGGTCGTGCACCGCCGGCCATGCGGAGGGCAAACCGAAGCCAACCGGCCACCTTTTTTCTGCCTAAAAAGGTAAATTGATGTGTATTTATAAGCGATCGAGCTGTAATGAAAGCGCAATGTATCATGCTACATCGTGATGTATCAGCTATACATCCTAGTACATGGATGCTACATTGATGCTACATTTACAGGACCATGCTGTTGCTGCAGCTATAAATGTATCACGAGTTCTGCTGTCACGTCAGGTAAGTGTTGTATCAAAATGACAGCTAGGCCTGGACTGATTCCATCCTCAAGCACCGCATGCAGTTTGAGCCGCGCGTAGCTGGGCAGTAGCGAGCCCGGAGAAGCACCCCTTGCATACAGTGAGGTTGCATAGTGGGCTTGTATATCCTGGGTTAGCAGTGCCAGTGAGTCGGTGTGTTAGGCTTTCATGATTCCTGGACTTGCTGTAGCCTACCTGTAACGGTTCAAATAGCATTCATCCTCATCTGAGACTAGTATTGTATGAGCACTCACGAATAATGCGGGCCTCATCTGCCTTGCTTTAGTGTATGAGAT